TCGATAAAGTACACATTTTTTAAATATATAAAACTTTAATTTTTTATTTTACTTCTTGTTCGACGAGCGAGTGAAACAAACTGTGACTTCGTAGAAAATAAGCGGTAAAATTAGCGCAGACAAGAACAATAACTGATGAAAAATGAAACTTGAAAGCAACTTTTGCAAATACAGTTTAAGACGATATCGTTTCCTCAGCATTTCATGCGTGTTGCCACCGTTTCGGACGTGTTAATCATCTTATTCCTCTAATATGAAAAAAACGACCAGCGCCAAAGAACGACGTCTTTAAATCACCGTAGGCGGTCTCGTGGTTGCAACGCTAAACGGCGTATGCCTAAATCAAGTTAATCGTACGGGGTGCGACTAAACGGGGTGCTATATTGAGACGTGCAAGAAGCACGAGCATCCTCGACGTGAAATGGGACGCGCTTGCGATTACGCGTGAAATGAATGCGGCGATGCATGCTATGCATCGTGCATGCGTACGTATATATATATATATGCACATAAACATCCGCGGATGCTGCGAAGCGATGCTTCATCCTTCGCTTTTGCTTCAAGTCCATAGTTATTATCGGATTATTAGAAGCAGACTATCAAAATAGATACGAAGTAATTTCGGTTTCAACACGCGCGAATCGCGTGAAATAGACGACGGTTCGCTAATTTGCGCGTGACTCGGCAAGCCTCTCCTCATCTCTTGCTCGGTGGATGCAGCAGTTAATCCATTATGAGAGGGAGGGGATGCTGCCGAGGCAGCTTCTCGGTTTTCGCGACGCCCACTAATTTGCTAACCATCGATTTTGACCAGCACGCACATTCGCGCGCACCGCCAATCGCGAACCTGGCCCTTCTCTTTCTCTCTCTCTCTCTCGTTTCGCGTCGCTATGTTTAGAAACGCACGCGCGGAATACTCTATAGTGCTTAATAGTCGGCTAACCCTCCCCTATAGCGAGTGATGGATTAGCGGTAGAGCCGGTCATTCACAAGAACCTACTGCGATTTTCAGAGAAACGCGAACTATGTCCGCGTGACGCAGTTGGCACTTAAAATAATATAATTACGAAACTTATCTGAAAAAAATTAAAAATAACATTTTATACAAAGTATCTTATTTTAAGATAATTTACTGAAGTGAATAATGAAATAAAGGATCGGTAAGATTAAAAATAATAAGTATTAAATTTGCTCAGTCTATTTTAATATCATTGCCCATGAAATTGTCTTTAATTACAAACATATTTGACATTTATGAGAAGCTAAGAATTTTTATCTTTCTCAATTTTATATTTCAATTTTTTATAAAAAAATTATATAATAAATAATTATATCCGATCTCAAACGAAGTGAGACCTGACAGAGATTTAACTCTACACCGCAGCTGATCAAAATTGTGCGATTAAATATATTATTTAATAACACTGCAATTTCGAAACGACAAAAAAAGCGCCAGAAAATACAAGGAAGAGCACGAAGACGAATTCTGGCTGCAAGAAGACAGAAGTCAAAAGCGGAAGATGCCGTGCTAGGACAAATTGGTCGTCGGATGCGATTGGTGGCGGCAGAAAAGCGCAGCAAAAAGCGAGAAGAGAGAAACGCGCGCGCACATCGCCCTCATCCTCTCTTGCTTCTCCTCGGGTAACTAACGGCAGGCAATTAAAACTCGACCGGCCGCGAGCGTTTAAGCGTCGACATTTCCGTTCACACGTGCGTAACGAGTCGAGCGGGACGCGCACCGACGCCTCCGCCGCGCAAAAAGACGTGGACCGACGACGCCCGCAGCGTCGCTTCGCTCCGCTGTCCGCGAAGCGAACAGCGAGACGAGATTTAAGGCCGTCTGAGCATTCACGGTCGGAGCTCTCTCCTGTGTTCTATGTTCTGCGCGAACAGCAGCCGCGCACATGGCGACTCGTACAACTTGGGGTTGAACGTTTCTCTTTATTCGTGATGTATGACGGTCGCGCACAATGTAGCTAAAGAATTTTCAGCTTTATCGCTAACGAATATGACGGAAATTGCGCCGGCTCAGATTTAATGCAAATCTGAATCTGGCGAAGTTACAGAAACCTATTACGTAGAAATCCCTTTTTAGAGAGAGAGAGAGAGAGAGAGAGAGAGATCTGTCAAAATTAAATTATTACGTTTTCATTTGAAGCCTTTGAGAAAGACAGATTTATGATTGCGCGATATATGTGACATTTAATTTTCCTTCATATGTAATTTTAAAAATGAATCCTCAACTCCCAGAATTTAGCGCGATTTATATATAAGGGTTTTTTATGTAAGAGCAAAATATTTATTTCATTAATATTGCTTCTCATTAAAAAATTGAAAAAAAATATAAAATTTTCTTTGTTGTATTCTGCAGCGCCGACCTGGCGCGTGCCTTACATATTCTACTGCGCGACGTGGTCTGCCCCAATTTGTCAGTGACTACTTGCAGGGTGAAACGTCGTCTGGCCGATTGCCACTACTTGGTACACAGATGAAATTTATAGTCGTTTCTTTTTCTCCAAATACGATGTACCAGATAAAAGTATGTTTGTAAAAACAATTTACATCTTTTGTTCTCCACTATTACAATTAATGTAATACAATGTAATATACAATTTCGATAAGTGCCGGTCTTAGAATTCTAACGAAATTTCAGCACATTTATATGCGATGACATTTATCTATTTTGTATTGAGATTAATTCTTGAAAGAAGAGTTTACAAATTTTCTATTTCGAGTGATGACTTTGTTCTTAACTTGACAGTGGAGGTCGACTACCAGAGCGAACCACGTTTAAACACCTTTCATCGCTGGCGTAATGCCTTTATCTCTCTTCCTGCGCCTCTGTGTCCCTTCTCTAATTTTACAAGGCGTTAAGTGCCACTTTGTCGTGCTTTGTGCTCGATTCTTTAGCTTCGTCGATACTCATTTCCGCCTTTCTGTCGCGCAAATGAGTGCAAACGTTTGCCATAAACCTCTCTGACGACAGCTCGTAAAACTACATCCGTTATGTTCGAATTCGTGAAAGAGTATTAATAATCGTAAAATATTACATTATTAAGAAATATCAGTCGAATATAGAATATAGAAATATAATCTCTTAAGATAGAACCCTAATACATAATTTATTAGGGGAGATAACATATTATTTAATTATACTATATTACATGAGTTTAACTATGTGCTTATATATATATAGATCAGAACATTACAAACATTTTTATATAGAAATACTTTAAATGAATATTTCCAATTCTTTTAGAATTTATAACAGATTAATATTAAAAATAAATGCAACAAATTAATAAAAAGAATAAATATATACATATGACTAAAGATGAGCTAGAATAAATATAATCGAGGAGAGGGGATGATATTAAATATAATATTTGGGAGTAAATATTAGAAAAATATTTTCTGTTAAAATATATATATTTCCAAAAAACATTAAGTGTGATTGGAAATATAAATATAAACTATTGACAAAAATAAAGAATATGTATATTAGGTAACTTTAGAATCCAATTACAGTGACGGCATGCTAACGAGTATCAAAATAGTATCGTCGCTATAGTGATCCATCGATTAGCCGGCTCGGAGCCACCAACGATGCGTGGGCGTAATCCATCCTAAAATTCGACGTGTACGCAGATACGCGTGAAGTAACAAGTATAATGTTTCTAATGACGTTGCGGCATAATTTAGTAATTATATTCTCCCAAATTTATATTACAGCATAATATACTCCTCTCATAATAAAATAATCAAAGAAAGCGCTTAATAATTACTCAACATTATAATAACAATATTAACATATTTAATTAAGAGATGTATTAATGCCAAAACAGCGAGCTAAATGAAATCATTTGTTATCCGTTAAGTTTTGTTTCCCTTTTAATATAAAAACACAATTTATTGTGCTAGAATAATTAGGAGAAAATTTGATACATGAAAATTAAGTAAAAATATTTAACATGTATTAAAATACATAGTATATGAAAATATTTAAAAGGAATTAGAAAGGCATAACAATTAGGAGATAACGTAATAGTGACTCCAAATAATGTTCCACAAATAGGTGAGCCATGTCAATTTTCTTGTGAACGGATGGAGTAAGAGGCCAATTTTGATAAGTGTGCTCGTTAGGAAATATCCTTTGGGGGTGGTACCGAGGATAATTTAATGGGGAACATGTTGAGGATATAAAATAGACCATGGAAGAAAGCTCGTTAACGTCGATTCATGTCTACAAGAAAATGTAATTAGACAATTACCTGTCAAAATGTTTTCGAGCCTTGTCATTCATAAATCATCCCTTGTGATTTCAGTACGTGAGAATTGTTAAATTTTAGAATTCGAATGCCAATAGTATGCGATTAATATTATATATTATATAAAATTATATAAAATCAGACACTTTTTCAACCCCCTCCCCCCCCCCTCTCTCTATCAAGCATCGGCAAAAAAATTTGTTAATGCTGGAGAAAAAAATAATTTTATTAAAATATTAAACAGCGTGTAGTGTAGTATATGAATAATGCGCATTTTTGAACAGTGATAAACTTACCTTCGGAAAGCGAGCGTCAAAAAATTGAGAGAACAATTTTGGAGATTTTTTCGTTCTGAAAGATGCTCTCGAGAATTTTTTCTTTTCAATTATTATATCCAGAAGTCATGTTCAGTTAAGAAACATTAATTACGCCGTCACAGCGGTCGCGTGACATTTAAAAATGGATCCTATACCACGACTGTCCTGAACTGTCCACCGTTTCCAATCTCGAAGCATCCGAATGCAAACATCTCGGATCAAAAACCTGGCACCAAGATGGTGGGTCAGCCAACGATAGGCGCGGCCGGACGACTGTTGGTTCTCATGCAACCAATCAGGGTCGAATGAAGGTCGGTACGGCGCAGCTACCCCATCCACCACGTCGGAACCGCGCATGCTGGGGGATCACGAATTAAAATACTTTGCTCTATACCCTCGGCAGTCGCTCGTCGACCCGTGTGCCATACGGTTGCCGTCTTGTATCGGTATAGCTTTATATACTTGGGTGTACATATAGTTTCGCGGGTGCCATCATTATTGTCATCAACAAGTAGTGCAGAATTTGTTCATAGTTGAGGAAGTTGCCAAATGAAAGAAGAGACAAAATTTTATAAAGATGGACATAATTTTCCAACGTGTATTATCGTAATAATTTGTGTCCATCTTCAAATTTATGCTGCTGATTACAATTTGCCAAATTTTGCAAATGATTAACAGTATTTTTTATTAACCTTTACCTTATTCGGTGATAATCTAATGTTTAATACGAATTTAACAAGGACTCGACAACAGTTTTTCATATTTTATCGTCCCTAGTTAGTTTACAAATTAAGCTTTATCTATTAATTTGTATTCAAAACTATATAATATATGCAAGAACCATAATATGCAAGAAACAGCCAAGAGCCGACTATATTTCAATAATAAAGTACGAAAAGAGGATTACATGCAATACATGCACTTATATTTATAATCGAACGTTACTTTTCATACAAAACAGATCTTATTAGATATCATAGATCTAATTTTCATAAGCTTGTATCATAATTACAATAATCAATAGTGTCTCTGCAAATCACGAAGATTTCAAGACAACGAGAAGTGTGTAAACTTTTTATATCAAGTTGTAACCAGTGCCAAAGCACGTTAATCTGTAGATGTTAAATTGTGAAACACCGATCACTCCTATCATAGAAGATATCGTCAGTGAAATGCAAAAGAAATTATCGTCGACGTATTGACTGCCACTTTGAATTAAAGGACTATATATAATTTTGTATTAGACTTATACGAGATTTACATGTTGCATATATTTCAATATTGTGCAGAATAAAAAGAGAACAGAGCGAGAGAGAAAAAGAAAAAAGACAAGTTTCAAAAATTATTCACGATGTAATGCTCACCATAAAATGTGCCATAGATATTACAATAAGAAATATAATATTATGCAAAGCAGAAAAAAATTACATAACAGTTGTTAACACAAATCTGTTGACATACAGCACGCCTTAACATTAATTGACAACATCAAATTTATATTGCAACGATTCAATAATGATGATTTGAATAAAGCTAATTCAACACTGGCTGCAAATCTCATTCAGATTTGGCGCACAACACAATTAAATTTGCGCGATTCAGTTTCCTAAAATACTCAGGAGACGGAATTCATTACAGGACGTAAACGACGTTTTTGAATCGTGCGAAAAGCGTGCAATTTCTGTGCTCAAGAAGAGGAAATTATACAAGTTTAAGGGAAGATTATGCTTCGTATGTAGTATCGAATCGAGATCGGTCTCGATTTTTGCACATCCATCAGGTCCAACGAGTCATGGATGCAAGTGTCGAGGAAACCGAGCTCGACGTCGGCTCGGCGAGCGACGAGCTGGAATCGTCGGCTGCGGAAGTGAAGCGACGTCCGACACCGCGACCCTTCACGATCGAGAGCCTGATCGGTGGCGCGCGCGAAGATGCTAACGTCGCGCGGGATGACCGGACTAATGGTAGCGAAGAGGAAGAGCACCGGGATCGGGAGTATCAGCTCTATCAGAGGCATTATCTGGCGACCGCTACGGCAAACACGCTACCTTCAGGCGAGTGCTTTCTCTGTTTTCTGCTTTACTTCTAGTAATTGACAACACTGAAAATTCATTTTAAAATTAGAGAAAAATGTATTTTTATATTTAATATTAATTTATATAAAATATTTTAAAATTAATAAAAAATAAAAAATTAGTAAATAAAAAATTATTTTTTTTTATAAAATATTTGATTAATTTTATACAAAATTAATTAAATTTATTTTAAAATTAGAGAAAAATGTATTTTTATATTTAGAGACATTTATTCTCTGTGGAGAATATTTTTGTAGATCTGCGAATCTTGCGATTAACCGAAATTTTCCGACGGCGAACCTCGTTACGAATATTCGAAAGCTTTGCAGTAAGGATGAAAATAAAAAATATTTAAATATAAATGTTTGCTTTTATTATTTTGCATTTTTGTTCTTATACTTTTGAAAAAATCAATTGGAGACAATTTATAAATTTTAGATTATTTTCGTATAAATTCTTCAGACGAGAGAGAATGATGCAAATGTGCAAAACATTAATACCGTGACTGCGACTTAAAATACGATGGCTACAAATACATAAAAATGAATCGATAACTGCAGCGAAAAGAGCGCGTTACCATGTCTGTTCTATTCCGACAATTCATTCAGTTCTCGCTAATATATTTTCTATGATCTTCGACGATAAATTGTTTCGATGATAAAGTTGTTGGTAAACAATTTAAAATCTCACGTCAAATATTACACGCGCATACATGCATATAATATACATAAGTATATATATTTGTAATATATGTGTAATTATAAATATTATCATAAATATAATTAACATAAAATAAACTGTTTTCTTATAATAGCTATTTTGTAAGAAATATTAAGATTGTAAAATTTTCATATTCATAACACGAAAGACCGATTATTGATCTACTAAGCTTTAAATGTTCACATCTTTCTTAAAGCTTTTAATTGTTCGAAACTCTCTTAAATGAAATTAATGTATTATTACTGATAAACAGCGCTTTCAATTATAAGTATAACAATGCTAGAAATAAAATTTTATTAAGAAGACTCAGTGATTAATTTTTCAGTGAAAATCTTACTGGTACCTAATAAAAAATAATAAAAAATGAAACGGAAACATAAATTGTATTTTCACTGTACGTGAAATATTGATCTTTATTACTGAAATCCTGTCATTGCTTTAATTAGTGATATTAATCAATTCGCTAATTTAATTTAAGAAAATATATATTTTACACGTTTTTGAGTTGTTATTTCAATTACGAATAAACAATCAAATTAATCAGTATTCTTAAACAATAACATCTGTTAAACTTCTAATCTTATTAAACTTAACAAGTTAGATTATAGATTTGTCAAAAATAAAATAATACAGATTCTCATGTAATCTTAATTAGTCTTCTTTGCATTAAATCCATGAATTTTATCTTCCGTCGGGAGAATTATGTACTGATTTGAATCGGTAGTGGTAGACATATCATGATACTGAAATTGATATCACTATATATATAAAATGAACAATTATATTTAAAGTGTTACGTGCATATGCAGATTAAATATATATATTTGTAGAAATTAAATTCTAAGTGTATTTGTCAGAAATTACATAATATTTGTTAGCGTGGAGATACGACATGCAACTCTTGAAATTTCGGATTATTCGGTGCAACGGATATTCAGATAGATATAATGATATGACACAATCACTATAAAAAAATTATTCTATCGAGTCAAAGGCGCCGTAATGTCTAAGCACTGCTCCAAAACGTGAAAAGATACCAGGTGCTGGCGACGCTTTACAGACTATAATCTGCGATCTGCGGTTATGCATGTAATTGAAACCTTCGGAGCCTATCGTCCTTTTTCTATTCAATTTATTATAGTGCAGCGCAGTTAAAAGTTATCTCAAAGTTATGTCGTTAAACATTAACTTGTAATCGCGCGATGTTATATATATGATATGTATATATCAAAATTTTATTGACACAAAAAACAATTGAGATATGAATTTGATGAAGAAGAATATGCGTTATAAAATCATAATTGATGTTAATTAGATAAAAGAAAGTTAACAAAAACATATATGAAAGTCAAAACTTAAAATTTATTTAAAAAGCTAAAGCAAATGCACTAACAATAAGTAATATATAATAATAATGAATGTGAATGTATGCAATTAAAAACATGCGCATTCTAAGAAAATCCAAGTTAGATGTAAGACAAACATTTAGCAAGCAAGAGTGTCTAGCGAGACTAAATGAACGGAAATAAAACTTAATTCTGCAGTTGCATTCATTTGAATTACTATTAGACTTTAATAGAATATTCAACAGATATTAAATTTTACGTTAATAATTCAATTTCGTAATTTAAAATACTCTTCTATTATCTAATTCCAGAAAATGAAGAATATATAATAAAAAAATGCTAAAAAGTAAATATGTCAAATTATATTTCAAATACGGCTAAAAAATATGTTTAATATTCAGTGTAATAAAATAAATTTTTATGAAACAATTCTAATAAAATTATAATAGTAGCTAATAATTTCATAGTGAATGAAAATTATTGAATCAAGTTTCAAAGCTAGATCGGTCGCTTTGCCGTAGAAATTAATACAATCTGGATAAATCTATCCATTGATTTGCCCGAATCTATTAAATCATCTCAACCCATCAATGATCTGCGCAGGTTTCGGTGTGCCACTCGGCTTGTACAGCGCTTGGCTACCGATGCGGATGTACGGCGGCGGTGGTGCGGCCGGGGTCCCGATGCTGCCGCCGCAGCATCCCTCAGCTGGCTACCCGGCTCACCCCGAGCTGCATCAGAACCGGCTGCCGCAGCTCTCGATATCGGCGTCCGCTCACTCGCAGGGCTACTATCCTTTGGACGGTTGCCGTCGCACCGCGAATCAGCGTGCGCTGAGCAGCTTCACCGACAGCGAAGATGAGGACGGCAGTATCGGCTCGCCGGCGTCGCCGGCTCACGATCTCTCCAAATCGCGACACGGTGAGATGCACAATTTAACATCTTTCTTTCTCCCTAACATTTTTTTAGCTAAAGAAGATTGTAAGCGCGAGAGAAAAATCTGCAAACGATTTTCCTAAGCAATTAATGTGTTTTTAAGGAGTTTTGTAATAGAAAAAATAAATAAAAAAGTTTGCGGGCTATTTATAGCATGTCCTACTAAAGTAATCATTTTTCTCGTGATTAAATTCATAATTGAAATAAAATCAAATTAAATATTATACAATTATTTTTAGAAGTAAGTAAATTTTTTATTGCGTCATCTCTTTCAAAAATAGACCAAATAAATAGATTTTTGCGGGAAGTATATATATGTGGAAAACATACAACACATATTGATAACACATATAAGTTGAATATAACTCGCCACAAAGTTAGTAATAACTTATTATAAATGCAAAAAGTGCTATGGAACAATCTTAGTTTTCTAAGAGTATATGCGAGTGCTTTGATTATCTTATAGTGATAAATTATACGATGATAACTGTATATGTATAATTTTAAATCTTTGGTAGTACAATAATTTGAAGCCGGCAAAATGTGTGTCGATCAATAAATATTCTGTGAATCCTGACAGTCTTTAACTTTATCTGATCACTAAATGCGACAAATTTATTTTGTATAAAGTAATCTTTATACAAAATACATAATTTTAAATATCATTTCAAAAAGATTATTAAATTGTAATGTGATTATTCAATAATTAAGCATTAAATTGTACAGAAACATTGCTGTCAAAGCGATAATCTCTAAAAAGAGGTTCAGAATGATCTATGGATTTAATCGCGAAACGGGAGAAATCGGCGAGTCTGTCAAACGTTTACGAATTCCGATGGCGTGTCTTTGGTCACGATCGCAGTCGTACGATCGCCACACACAAATACACACACGATCGACCGCAAAGGATCGAGATACACGGTAGCGTGCATAAATTATCACGGTCCCGTGCCCCGATCTTTCGTTATGCGTACAGACATATATAAGTGTGTGTGCACTATTATGATACCTTAGAATATATCCTGACCGAATTTTTTGTAATGTAACTTGCATAAGTTCTAATCTTTCACCATCTTATCTTTTTGGAAAGTTTTCTAAAAATTAAATATAAATAAGAAAGGTCTTTTCTAAAAATATTTAATAGATCATCGCAAAGTTAGAATAGTTTAAAATAGAAGAAAAATATTCTGGAGTTATTTGACATGTATATTTTTCATAAAATTCAAAAACAAGGAAACACATAATAAAAGAGTAGAATAAAAAAATTATTATATTTATCAATATTTTTTTGAAAGACGGAAAATCTTTTTTTTTCAAGAATTTTTATACATATAATATTTTGCAAATATAGTTCTTCGAAAGCGCGCCATCGGATGATCGCCGAAAGTCGAAGAGTACGTGATCGTCGATCACGTATTTTCGTGGGGACAATTCCGATGGTGTACAGGCGCGCGCATTTATTCGTGGCCGGACACATTTTTTATTGATGTACCGCCGACCGGCGACGATTTCGTATGCAAGACGAAATGACTTCGGGGAATCTGTCATCGGTCATTTATGACGCACCGCGCCGAACCGGTGCGTCCGATTGTCACGACGAGGCGCGATCGCGACGTTCCACGAATTCGTCGCGATCCACCTACGTGTGAGCATTGAGTTCTCGCACAATGCGTGGATTACCGATCCTAATCTTGCTCTGATCAGAGTCAGTGAAGTGGAAGAAAATTAAAAGAATTCAAAGACCTTAAATTCCAATTTCAGAATTTGGTTTCGCTACGATTGATATTCCAACAGCCAAAATCGAGAATCGTGAAATTAAGAGGCGAGATTCTAAATTTGAGTAGCAAGGTAGAGTCAAGGCATTGAATAATTAAAAAAATGTAATTTAAAAATTAAAAATCTTAATAATTATAATTAATTGATAATCGTTATCTTATAAAAATTATAATTTCAGTACAAGAAATAAAACATTAAAAAAAATTTATCTTTTTCTTTCTCATAGCTATTTTAGATAAATTATAATATTATATATTGCCTGTAAATCTTCAGTTCACTTAATGCATAAAATAAAATATTACTTGAACCATTTAAAATAACTGGCACATTTTATCGTGCATTTTTTAAATGTATATTGACTGTTCTTTTTCAAATTTGACTAATCAACTAAATAATAAAAACAGATAAATTGGATCACGTAAAAACTGTAAAAAGGGTATAATAGAATGAACATAATTAATGCAATTAAGTATATATGCATTGTGCATGCTTTCTTGCATAGAATCGGTTTTATTCTTGATCGGCAATGAATTTTTATACAGTCTACGAACGGATAGTTATTTTAATGCGATCGTCGATCGAGACGATGCGTCATAAATACACAACGGCGTTGCTAAGAAGATTTGATCGATTGTCGGAGCTATTATTCAATGACTAGAAGTTAAAAATAGCTCTTTCTTTACAATGTCTAGGATCTTTAAACTTTTCGATTATACAATTTCTGTAACTAAAAATTGAAAGATATCATATATTTGAAAGGTACTTTTAATAGAGAAATCTATTAGAGCTTCTTGTACATATTGAATTCTTTCATTTATAAAAATAATTTTTTTGCACTTAAAAATTGAAACCATATATATATATGTGTGTAAAAAATGTATTCTTTATATAAATGTTACGTTTTTATACTACATATATTCAAAATTTTTGTGAATACTACATTTAAAATGTTTATATACGTTTAATTAAATTTTAAATTAAATATTTTAAGTTTGAAAATCCTAGATGTACAGATTTGAATTTCATCATTGAAAGAGATACGAAAATGTCAAATCCATGAACATATTGCATAGCCATATTGAAGATTGGATTAGTAACAGATAAGTACTTTGAAATGAGAACGAGTCTCGCGCGATATTCACTAGAGAATTATTTATTATTGGCCCAGATGCGACATGGCGGAAAGTATGTTAACGGCTGCTTCATCATTAGAGCACGAAAGTTAGCTATGTGAATTGAAAACGTGGAATAGTCGAGAGAACGAAGCTTTTGACTATTTATGCAAAATTTAGAATTCCATTCACATGCACGGTGAGGCAAAATAATTTTCGCCGTCGCTTCGTCGGAAAATCGAATAATCGAATCATTCATAAATTTCTTATTTTACTTCGTTCGTCGAAAATTATGAATTCGTTGATCGTTGAATAATTCTTTTGCGCAATAAATTAAATTATGTCACACGAATATGGAATTACAACATTGCAAAATAAAATCGTTTTTCAGATATATTAATTCGTATATTATACATATATTTACAAAAATACCACGTTAAATAAATATTAAATGAAAAAATCCGATAGGTCGTTTGATTCCTTTGACATTGCTGTGAATGATGCTATTAGATTAAGTATTTCAATATTCCGACGATTGTTTTGTCTTACAGTAAAATGTTGTAATAATTCAAAGTTAATTTGTGTAGTATATCTAGAGTCTTTTTGCGAACAATGAAAACTAAAGTGATTTATTTCGTCTTTCGTGGTTACGATAATCTAAAATTTAATTTTTCTTTGTAGCGAGAAACAAGATTAATTGATTTTTTTTTTTCAAGTGTAATTGCTGTAATCACTTGTTTCCTTTATTTGATACTCAAATTTAATTCCGCGACGTTTAAACAGCGCATACGAGAAGATAATCATGGAATGTCACTTGAATTTTAATCGCACTCACCGATTCTGCAACAGGAAGCCGATTAGCGTATCGAAACGAAAGGATCATATTTCGATTTGGCATGCGAGACGAAAGGTCCTTTTAGACCACGTCATTCGTCATTCATAGCCGTCAGGACGACGACTAAGATGAAGCCGATTATACGAAGGATTGGCTTCGAGAGTCGGTAACGTTTAACAAAGTGGCTGTCGCGTCGCCGTGAATGGAAGCCGTCAATTTTGCCGCGACGTTGAGCATCGTGTGATATTTATAATGCCAGCGTTGCAGAATTAACATTCGATATAATCTGGGCTATAATCCGCCGGCGACTCGACGATTCGGCAATTATCTACGTATAGAGAGCGTTTATAGAAAAAGCCCGTCGATGAACGTAATTTAATCAAATGGAAACGGAAATTCTCGAAACGATATAAAAGACGTAAAACGGAATGTACGTACATTATTCAATCGCGATAAGTTTCGGATCATTTTCCTCGACCATACTTGCTCCTTTCTTAAATATTCAATTGAAATCGGAAACTGAAAATACATTCTCCTCAACATATCATTCTCTCTCTCTTTTTCCGTATATGTTAAATATTAATATAATTTTTACGATCATTTTCCTTCTATTTCTCAAGTTTTATTTTTATATTTTGCTATAGACGCGGGTCTATCAAGAATGCGTGTGATATTATGTTATTCGTAGCAGTGGATACAGGAAGAGAAAGGGAGACAAACCGACAACTTTGCTATATCGATCGTCGCGATACTCCGTAACGTCATCATGCGGCACAAACTGGTAGAGAGACCGTTAATAAGCCCGATTGAAATTTCATGTCGCATATCCAAAAATACATTTACTCAGAGTCATACGCGAGCGACGAATGAGCGCTACCTCCAATCTGATCCCGATAATTGCTTCCGGCGAAGCTCGTCGATCGATCGCGTCGGGCGCTATATCGGGCCGCGATCGAGCAAATTATTCTCGAATCAGGTCGCGAATCTCGCCTGCTTCCTTAACACTTAATGAACCGGATATATTTCCCCGCGCACATTGGCTAGACGCACACGTGGATATTGAAACCTTATATCGCCAAGCGAGGAAACGTATAGTACAATTAAAAGCGTGTGAATAACGACGAAAGTGATGCTAGTAAGATATTTATGGGACATTACGGAATTGTCTCATTCATATTTGTTTTCATGCATGATCTCCTTAACGATCACCTTAGATTTACATTTAATGAATGCACAATGAAGTGTACAGGAGTTATGAGTATAATCAAATTTAGGCGAGCTCATTGCATTTTTACAAAGACCGCAGATGCATAAATTGTTTCCACACTACTTGACATCCGCACTTGCAATCGGACGAAGGCACTCGACCCCCGAGCTTTTTTTTTTGCTTTTCCCGCAGTTTTCCTGGTCGGTGAATTTTCGTTATTCATTGCCCGAGAGCGTGGAGAGCCTGCGGCGCGTCCGACACGATATGGGAGGATCGCATCTTGCTCCGTAAAGGACCGCGCCATACTTGTCGCGAAAAAAAAGGAACAGTGCCCCTTGGTAACGACGATACCGAGATTGGCACGATTCCGCCGATCGATCGTGGAACCCCGCGTCATTATGCAAGACATAGAGTGGAATCATTTATTTAATTTCGTTGTATTTATTATCTCTAAAATCAAGAAAATATTTATTTTTAAATAAAAAAAGAATTCGAGAATTTTGTAAAGTTCCAGAAGAAATTTTTTTTTTTTAAATAATATGCTTTAATTCTAATATTCCGAAATATTTTATTAAAAATTTATAACGCGTTAAAAATTCATAATCAGAAAGATATAACATTTCTATATGAATGCATAAAATATTTTTCTTTTATCCGTATAATCGGTAATCAATTGGTGAAGAAATAGTTGAGAGAATAAAAACAATGGAATTGGGTAAATTGTGAAAATTAACCCGACACACAAACGGTCGATGAATCAAGGATAAAGATTTTTAAATGATTTAATTTCCGGCTACTTCATCATTGACAGGTTTCAATAATTGCCATTTGCCAATGGTTAAATAAAATATGAGCTCTGAAGCATGCCAGCTATTTTCGCCGATTATTATTATGTACGACGAATCGATAATATTGTAATATTACGTTAAGCATGTAGATACCAGGCAGCTTTTCTTAGGGTGAAATCGATAAAGATGCCGCGACCCAATTAATCTGTTGCATGTTTGTGTAATTGGCGAGTAAATTTGTGACCTAATCGATCCATGAACAAATTACTCTACCTAAATAGAATAGCATTTCACCCGCGCTTATAGATTGCATAGCTTTATATTATTATTTCTCAAATTTAATACATATAAATATATATATAAAGTCAAAAATATATATTTTCTTGTGTTTGTGTATAGAATTTGGCAAATATATATTTTAAAGTATTTTCTGCGCATAAATAAAACGATTTAATGAAACTAAAAAATTTTATGCAATTTATACTTTATATTATAAATAAGAGTAATTTAGTTCAATTCAAAGTTTTTTTAATTTAGAATTTATTAATGTAAAATGTATTTATATAAACTAAATTAATTTAAGAATCATATTTTATTAAACTTGGTTTTATGTGCTAGATATATTTTTATTTTTATATATAATTTCTTGTTTGTCTCTCTAATTGGAAAAGACACAATGGTTTTTCCGAGACTGGATTTAATGCTTATTCGCCGATCTACATCGGCTGCACCTATTTGCTATAAGAGCCGAATTACCAGCTTCAAACAACCAAGAGCAATTTCATTATCGTGTTTAAGTTTCGGGTTATAGCCTTGCTCCAACTCTATTCGCTAAAAGAGTATGGTCCGCTAAACGAGGATGTAACAATGTCGTTCTCCCAGATCGATTTCGCCGCAAAGTGTAAAGCCGGGAAACAGGGGACAACGCCCGTGTACGCTCGCGGAAGCGTATCGTTCGCCTAATCGAAACCCTCTGAATAAGTTAGCGACTGACAAGAGAAGAGTGCATCAAACCGGTGATGGAAAGTTTGCACTCCTGTAAGTGCGTGATCTGCGAACTTCGGGATAAGAAAGACGCGAATCGTGACCGATGAATAACTCAAGCTGACCATAGCCGAGTTGACCGTTGACAACGAACTTTAACAGGAAATAATGCACCCGCAAATAACGATCGGCTTTTGATCATGCGACTCGACCATATTGCGATGGGAAAAGTTATGCGAATCACGTGCGGTTTGCTTACTTATTGAGAAAATACGACGAGGAGAAAAACTGTACGATTCTATTTATATTATTTCTGAGGGAAATGGACTGTACATGCATAAGTTTTAATATGTGTTAATTTAGCTGCTAGAATACATGATTGTAGATCTAATAAAACGTGACTTTATGTTTCTGACTTTAACAAATATTGTATATATTTAAATGCACCTATGTGCGGAATTTTAATTATATTATTTTAATATAGATTTTAATAATTAACACAAATTTCACATATTTTTATATTATTTTAAAAAGATACACGAATCATATTGATTGATTTATAATTCATTCACAGATTTCTAAAATATTTAAAAAATAATAAAATATCAATATTAAATAAGTTGTAGATAATTCCCTTCTCTTTTATATTTTAAACTTTTTAGGAATTCTACGAAAACGTATTTTTGACTCGTTGTTAAAACTATTGTTTGGTTTCTTTTTATCAATTTTTTTAATTGTCATTGATATATTAAAGACAACCTTCAAATAGTTTTCTTGGACATCTGTGGATATCTGCGAATTGACGCGCATTTCCGTTCTTATTCAGTCGATCGTCGAAACGTCGATCAACCGAGTGCGAGCCATTCAAACGCAGCTATATAACCACGCTAGATAGGAATAATTTTCAATAAATGATGACCCGACGGAGTCATCAAACTCCGCGGTAACTTTGTTTCGTATCCCGGTGCATATTGCATGTCGCGCTCGGCTACCTCGCGGATGGAGGAAAAAAAACTCTGTACGGGAAATTACGGACGAGAGAACGTTGCCAACGATCGAAGAGCGCAACTTTTATGAAGGAACGACCAATCTGCTCCGCATATTAAATAACTACCAGGCTATACATACCGCAGCGATGTACTCTCGATAGCGATAAAGTCCGTTGATGACTTAATGTCTCGTGGATTTTAACTCTTCTATTTGAAATTGTATATTTTAAAGACTCTTTTTCGACGATTATTTTTCTTGAATGGTCTTCTTGATGTTTTTCTTGAAATGTAATCGTTATTTGATTTTAATGAATCAATTATGGATTAATAATAGAAATAACATCATAATTGAAAAGCGAGTTATTTTATTATTCATATCCATGCTTGTAATAAATGTTTCAAAGATGCGCATCATTGATAGAACATAAAAACATAACGATGATTATTTTTCTTGAATGTCAAATATGTAATCGTTATTTGTTCTTTATGTTTCAATTGTGGATTAATAATGGAAATAACACCTTAATTGAAAAGCGAGTTATTTTATTATTCATATCCATGCTTGTAATAAATGTTTCAAAGATGCGCATCATTGATAGAACATAAAAACATAACGACGATAATTTTTCTTGAATGTTGAATATATGTAATTGTTATTTGTTCTTGATGATTCAATTATGGCTTAATAACAGAAATAACATCTTAATTGAAAAACGAGTTATTTTATGATTCATATCCATGCTTGCAATAAATGTTTGAAAGATATGCAGCATCGATATAGAACATAGAAACGTAACGCAAATTAATTGATTAATAAATTATTTCATTATCGATTTCCAATTCTTTGCTACTTTATATTTCGGTATATTTTTAGATTGAAAGTTTTGATATAAAGAAAAAATTCGATAGGGTCTCATAATATTATCATCCACATGTTGCAGGATCCGAGAATGGTCGAGTGTCAGCCGAGAGCGACGAAGAGGGTGGTGGAGCCGCGGGTTCCGGCGAGGGTCACGATATTTCCGATGGCGTCGGCGTTGGCAACGTCACAACAAGTCCCAGTAGGTCCTTAGAGAACGGCCAGAATTCGTCGGCATCGAACGCCAGTGGCAACAAAGCCCGGCGACGACGAACCGCGTTCACTTCGGAACAGCTGTTAGAGCTGGAGCGCGAGTTCCACGCGAAGAAGTACCTGAGCCTGACAGAGCGTTCGCACATAGCGCACGCGTTGAAGCTATCGGAGGTGCAGGTCAGTGCTGAACACAAATGATAAGTCACATGACGAGCCATTAATGTTTGATACTAAAGAAACTAAGTTAACATCCGAAAAGGATGTTTAATTAAATATAAAAATAAATTCTTAAGAATCCGAGAATTTATAGAAATGTCAAAATTAATTCATAATACAAAAAACGTATATTTCCCGACGTTATCCAGAGTTACAGAATTTCATTCCTTTAAATACACACATATAATATGTACATCACATTAATTGTCATATGCAACCGGGCCTTCTTTCTTTCCTCTAAAAGAATGACTTGCGTCGCTTGCTTTTCAAATCAACGTAACTCTGGCGCAGGTGAAGATCTGGTTCCAGAATCGACGTGCCAAGTGGAAGAGGGTGAAGGCCGGGCTGAGCGGCGGCGGCGTCGGCGTCGGTTCGACGGCGACGTCGGCTATGACGCCTTCCGGGGCTTCCGGTCGTCACAATGGTACCTCTGGCCAGCACACCGGCTCGGGTACCAGGATCGTGGTGCCGATACCGGTGCACGTGAGCCGTCTGGCCGTCAGGTCGCACCATCATCACCTGGAGAAGTGCGCGAGAGCACCTCGCGCGAGGCCGACACCGTCCTCGGGCGAGAGCGCGTCCCCGGGAGCGGTGTTGGGCGACGCCTTGGGACTGGTGAACTCGTCGGTGAATCTGACCGGCCAGGTGCAGCCGCCACTGGGCGCCGGCATGGGAGTGGAGATCGGGTTGGGGGTGGTTTGAGAGCCTTCGCGGTACCAGCGCATCGAGCTGGTCTCGGATCCTCCGGGAGGTAGTGAACGATGTCGTGTGGATGATGAACTGCGGATGGCCTGGTACGTTAAGACGCGAAGGAAGGAGAGAGGTAAAGTGATAATCGGTGTAGAACGCGCGCGCGCGCGTGGCAAAATGGAATCGGATGTCCTCATTATTAAGTCATACACCTATCAATCAAGAGTTAAATTATGGAAAGATGAATATTTATACCTTGACACGTAACTTCCTTTTATTTTACGTAATTTTTGTTACATATATCATTCATTAAATCGAGAGAATATTTTATCATAGTTAAATATGCATGGATTGCTTGCTAACAATAGCACAGCATTTTTCGAATATTTTCTATCTCTCAAGGATTTTTCTAAATATTTTTAACGGTTCATTCAGAGCATATAGAGCCAAATTCTATCTCTGTTCGGTTCGCTATCTTCTATCGCACTAATTTAAATGTTCTAAATACGCGAGAGTCATTTCGATCATATATCCTTTTCCGACTTCACAGCGCGCATTGTAAATAGCAAGTCCTAGAAGTTTGTAAATATACACATATAACAGATAGATAGATAGTAATTCCGCATAAACGTAGCGTATTTGTAGATAGTTTACATTAAGCAGTGGGTTTCAGCCTGGCGAACAACTATTACGTGGCAGCGATACCGCGTATCGATCAGCCGTGCGATCATCGCAGCTGTATTACAACGGCGAAACGTTACAACGAGGCGGAAGCGCACAAAATGTCGGGCTATAGACTTGCATACGTTGTAATATCGTATCGGCAATAAAACGTGCGACTGTAATCTGAAATATCATTTGCCTTCTACCTTATGTCTACTGCCTACTCGGCGCGATTACATAGGTCTATATTAGTCTAAAAGTAAAAAGTCATTTAGACCCTTGCTGATTAAAAATATTTATATAATAAAGAAGATTTATATACACAAATTGCATTACCGATAATAAAATCGAAAGGAGATATCTTTGCCCTTTTTCTTAAGGTCTTTCAAAAAGGATCGGATTGTCGGACTATAATTAACTCTAATCTTATTAAAGATAGAATCTCGATATCTTTGAAGATCAAGGTTTTTGCATTACTGACGGAATAAAACAAATATTAATTTATTTAAAAATGTCAAACTAATGTCTTCAAGAATCGTTCAAACTTCTTGATTTTGATACACTTTCTCCCAGCTAATTAATCTCGCGGATTTTGACTGGAATAGATCGATCGACCGAGATCGCTAATCGCGCGAGGGTTCCTGCGTTTGCCTTGTTTTGACAATTTTGTTGCGGTTCTCGAGGGACCGGCCGCCCCGGGTCGACTCATCGTCATCGGGTGCTCCCACGGGATCAGATCGTCGTCTCAAATCGGTGGATTGCGCATTTTCGCAGGCTGCCTGCGTCGCGTGCGGGCCCCGAGTCCCTGAATGGGGTTCCACGGACGAATTTGGGGCCCCCTCCGTTTACTTCGTAGGCGTGACCCCATATGCCGGGTATTCGGCTGGGCCGCTGCAACTGTAGGACGATACACGATGCAAAACGCGTCAATGTGTCAGCCGGCTAATTCGATTTAGCTGCCTTTGACTCGGAACAGCCGTGACTCTTCAAGTAGAAGCGCGATAAAAATGCAAGAATTTTTCTCGCCGCGGTAATTGATGACAGGTGATCTTTTCTTCTTATTAGGTAAGTAACGAGAGTGCGGAATAATTTTGATGTCAACTAAAATGTTTGAAAATGTGATAATAATTATTGGAAAGTTTTTTTTTATCTTTATGCATTCCTATTTTTATTTCTTGATTGTGTTTTTACAGTGTAATAATTACCACTGTCCACAGCTGATTACAAATTAATCATTCGAATTAATAACTCTTGAGAGCTTTTATAAAATAGTGTATTTATTTTTTAATTTATACGAGAGATTTAGGTGTCGTGATACAATGATCCATATCGAAAACCATAATTTAAAGCAACAACATATACACTTAGGCTCAGAATAAAAAAATAGAAACGAAACAAATATATAACAACGAAGATAGAGATAATTAATCTTAGAACGAAACTCGTCGCTTACCAAACAGGAATATCTTTCATGAATTATATAAAGTTCAACAAAAGAATATCAAAAAGTTGCAGAAGAAGATGATAGAGAAAAAAAAACGAAAGGTCGACGGGATAGTTGAAGGGGGGTTTGAAGGGGGCCCGAAGAAGTGGAAAAAGGAGGGGTCGTATACAGTGTACACAATAGCAAGGCAGAGTGCATTACGGTTAATACACGAAAAGGACCGGCGCGGTCGTTTAGCCAGCGATCTCGGCAGTTACTGCGCCTCGCGCGAGGGATAAATCATCTCTCCCGACGCTGCCACGCCTACCCGGAGGACGCGGAAAGAGCGACTCTCCCCTATAGAGCGTGGTAACGTACGACGGTCGGTGGACGACGACGTTACCACGTTCTTTGCGGTCGATGAGAACGAGCCGACGGCTTCCGGGAGAGGCGGAAAACTAATAATCGTTCGGAGTCGCGGACGCGCTCCGGAAGGCGATACCCAGATTGCGGCGGCGACGGTGACCTCGATTGACATCGCCCTTGCATAGGGCGAGGGTCGATGTTAATCGATCGACCAGCGAGAACAAATTTAACAGGCTCGATCATTCTATACCTAACGCTTTACGTCTCTCCAACGATTAAAGTTCGAAAGTTTGCACGCTTGTTTTTTTTTATATTTAAGGTAGTTCTATCGCTACAATATCAACTAAAAGTTTCGCCTCTAATCGATAAGGAAATTCATCGTTTATACAATGTTACCGTAGCAACAATTTTAGTTGAGTCTGTACAGTCTGAACCTTTGAAACAGCTCGTGTATGAACTCATCATCGCGATTTCTCTCCATGTTTCCGTTTGGAAAAAAATTCATTTCTTTAAAAAGTAATATCTTTGAAACTAAACGGTGGAAAAAAAAAATCCCACACTCATATTGTATTTTTTTATTAAAATCGTAAGATCCGTCCTATTGTTATATATTAAAATATGATGAAAATGCCATCCTTTCACGTGGTGTATAGAAAAAATGCTATTTTTAATTGTAAATAACTGTTAAACTAAACGGTGAATCGATTTCAAAATTTCATAATCAATAGATATTAACTCCGTCTACAACATATTAAAATTTCTAAAAATTCGTAAGAATTGTGAAAAAACGATAGAACTACCTTAAACTTGTGTAAAAGACACACTTTTCATCTTTTGTTAAACAAATTTAAATGGACCACTCAAATTTCTTGAAATGATTGGTTAAAAATGTTTTTTTTTTAATTTTTGAACATTGTCAATGATTAGATCCTAATGTACATAAGTGCTTCTTTCAAATACCTTTAATATTAATACATTATTATATGCACACAGAATAAAATATTCGAATTATGTACAATTAGTATTAAAATTTTATCATAATCTTTATAATAACTTTTATTCCACAAATTTATGGATTTAAATTTCTCGATATGATTGGTGCAATAAGTTAAAATCAGACAGGTATATTTTGTCTCGCTGGGGTGCACTAGTTTATTAGTGCAGGAACAGAAAACAAACCCCTTATTTTGTACCTCTCAAATATATAATCTCTATATTGGATATAGAAACTTTAAAATAAACTTTAGTTAACTATATATGGCATAGAGATGTAAATATAAATTTCAGTAATTATAAAATCAAACTTTCTAAAACAGCCTTCATTTATTTCCAAAATAAGAACATATTATTAACTGCATCAAATTAATCGCTAAATAGTACAATGAGATATAAATATCATAGCTCTCTTATTAAAGATTATGAAAGGGATATTATGAAGATATCTAATATCTAAATCTAGCTATTTTTTATTATAGTGCTTTTTTATTACTCTATAAGGAACGATATCTAATTAAAATGAGGTGTTGTATTTGAACCGATTTATTGTCATTTATCTAACTTATATTGCTACGCATGTGCAACTTTTTCTATGAATTCGGATACACTGCAGTTGAATAAACTATAATCCCTTATAATCACTCTCGCTGGCATTTAAACTGTTGGTATGATTTAAATGCCACCACCGAATGTAAGACTCGAAAGAACGTTTTAATCCACGCGTTCGCCATGGGCGTGTCGAAGAGTCAACCGCGGGAGAATAACGCGATCTATTTCCCACACTCGTTGCCGCGACCGAAAGAGGAGAGATTTCCCATTTTTCCCGAAAGGGCCGTGAAATTGGGCGGACAAATCGCGGCTCGAGAGAGCGTAGCGAATGCCCGCAATTCGTGTCCTCTCATGCTGTTCCGGACGTCTGTCGAACGTTCTATAGTTGCTCTCGTTTCTATCCGTATAATTTGTTCTCTCGAAGAGATCTTCGAGTTTCATTGCAATTTTTATTTTAATGCCAATTGGCTTTGATAAATTAATGATCGATTGTATCAGTAACTTTAATCATCTTAATAAAAAATAAACTATTATTCATTAATAATTCCTGCCAGTTTTTTTTAAATTGCAGACGAGAAACAAATTTTTAATTTAAATTAAAATTTATACATTTTACTCAAATAAATCTAAATAAAGTTACATCAATTTCTTTTTTTTAATCTTTCATGACATGTTGAGGGCTTTAAGAGCGAATATGTCCTTTTGTCGGGCATTGAAATCGCCAAATTCTAACATATGAACCGTGAACTATTTTCACTCTAAAACTAATAATATGAATCCTACATTTGACATTATAAACGTGTCATAATCATCATGTAATAAATAATTCGTGATAATATTATAGATACCCTCAGATAATTCTCACTAAAATAAAAAGTTCAAGTACAATAATTACAGAAAATAAATTAAATACGTCCACGTATTTCATGTCAAATAATTTCAAATATAAAATACACTCTAAAGCGATCTAAATTTACCCGCATAAACTCATACAATTCTCACTCTTTCAAAATTATATTAATTTATGTTTTTTATTCTTTCCATTTTAATCAGTTATTTTCTAACATATATTTGATCACTAAATGTTGAGCTGTAAATATCACATTTATCAACCAAATTAAATGTGCATTTGCAAAAATTTCTGATTATAAATTATTAGCATAATAAAAAATTAACAACACTTGTGTGATATCTAATTCAGAAACCTATTAATTCCTCACTCATAAAGTAAAAATTAAATAAATTCTTAAAATATGCAGATATATAATGTAATCACATTATTGATATACATTTATGTTAATAGTAAATTAAAAATATGCTTTAAAATTAGTGGAATTAAAGAAAATAAAAGATAATCTATTTAACTGTTAGAAAAATCACAATATAGGTAATTAAACATAGCAACTAATAAAAATTGAAAAACAAGACATGAAAAATTGTTTTACAAAGATTTAATTAATTATATGAACAAAAGAATAGTATTATATAATTGCACATATAATTAGCTCATAATTAATAATTAGTTTAAAAATTTGATTTTTTTTTGCAAAAATAGAAAGATTACTGCGCACAGAAAAGTTAAATTAAGTTTTAAACTATTAAAGTAATCAGTCGTGAAAACTCGGGACTTCCTACGGACGGAAATCTCGCATTTTTTGCGATGTGCTAACTTAAAAGTTCACCCACTCTTTTCTTCCTCAATTTCGTTTTGCACGTGCAGCTTTAATTTGTTTTATCATATCGCATATATCAGATAAGTGTTACATTACGGAACAAGTGAGTTAGCTGAAAGTATAAAACAGATCATAAATCATAACGATCGATCATAAAAATTAATTTTGAATGAGC